GGGGAACACTTTGTAAAGTCTATGGCTGTCTAATCAGTATATTGTATATCTGAAAATAATATGACATAATATTGAATGTAAACTATCATTGAAAAATAAAAAATAAAAAACTACTTGGTCATAAAAAGCAAAATATTTTACCCTTTATGACAGCATAGGTAGACCTAGAGAGTATTATGCTAAATGAAATAAGCCAGATACAGAAAAGCAAATACCACATGATTTCACTCATATGTGGAATTTAATCAACAAACTGAACCAGCAAAATAGAGGCCGACTCAGAGAGAGAGAGCAGGCTGACAGCACTGGTGCGGTGGCAGGGAGGGCGGTGGTAGAGGGATTGAGCGATAAATGAAAAAAAAAAAAAAGAGATGCCCTGGCTGGTTTGGCTTAGCTGTTAGAGCATCAGCCCATGGACCAGAGAGTCCTGGGTTCCATTCCCGCTAAGGGTATGTACCTTGGTTGCAGTTTGTCCCCAGTCCCGGTTGGGGTCGTGTGGGTTGCTACCAGTCGATGTGTCTCTCTCACGTTGATATTTCTCTCTCTTCCTCCCTCTCTCCCTCCCGCTCTATCTGAAGATAAATGCAAAAATGTCCTCGGGTGAGGATAAAACAAAAATTAAAAGAAAACCACTGGTTATAAGAATGCTCAAAGAATTCAGGGGAAGAATAGGTCAACTCAGTGAGAACTTCAGCAAAGAGATAGGAAACATAAAAAAGGACCAGTCAGAAATGAAATATGCAGTAACTGAAATGAAGAATACAGTAGAAGGAATCAACAGTAGATCAGATGAAACAGAGGATGGAATCAGTGGTTTGGAAAATAAGGTACAGAAAACACCCAATCAGAACAGCAAAAAGAAAAAAACTGCAATTAAAAATAAAATTAAATAAGTAAACAAACGAGAGACCAAAGAGACACCACATCCAGTTTGCAACATGTGAACCAGAAACAAATGACATTCAGAGGACAACTGGGGAAATCTGAATACAGAGCACTGCTACTCAGCCAGCCCATCGATGTAGATGAACTATGTCACTAGGGACGCCATTTAATTCAGCCAACATTTGTGTGGCAACAAGACTTTCTTGAAGAATGTGATGCACTGATACACACTCTGGTGCACGCTCCTTATCTCTCTGTGAGCCATCAAGCAGTCTGCAGACCACACTTCAGGAAGCACTGGACTAGATATTAGATAATATTCGTAGAGATCAGTGAGGGGTTAGTTATGTTTTATAAGCTGGGCTTATGGAATTATGTTATAATGTCCTTATGCTTAGAAGATGCATGCTGTGGTATTTAAAGATAAAGTGTTATGATGTCTAGAACTTACTTTCAAATGATTTATCAAAGAACAGATGCACACACAGATAAAGCAAATATAGTAAAATGTTAACATTTGTTGAGTCGTGGTGGTGGATACACTGGTGTTCATTGTATTATTCTTTGGTTTTCACAATAAAAATGAAGGAAGCAAAATGAAACAGGGAAGAATTTCTATGTTTGAAAATTGGAAATAAAGACCACAGGTCTTTTGCCATGTAGCATGCAAATTAGACCCAAGTAAGATTTTCTTTTTTATGGTAAATTGCTTTCTATTTTTTTAAATATGTTTTTATTGATTTTAGGGAGAGAGAAGAAGGGAGAGGGAGAGAGAAAGATCAATAAAAGAAAATCATCCATCCCAGGCATGGGCTTTGACCAGGAATCAAACAAACAACCCATCAGTACATGGAATGACGTTCAATCAACTGAGCCACATTGGCGGGGGCATTTTTTATTGTTTTAATTGACATACCCTTGGTTTATACCATTATATATGTTTCAGCTGTGCAACATTATAATTTGACGTGAAGTCTTCTGACAGCCTAAATAAGTGACTTATACTGTTTGAATTTTGTACTGATTTGTAAATGTGTTGTTTCATTTTTTTAAATAGAGAAAAGCAAGGAATACTTATGCTTGTTTGTATCAACTAGCTAACAGTTTTATAATTCAGAAAGAAATGTACACATTAAAATGACACATTGACAGCCAAAAAAATAAAAAATGACAAAAGTATGATTCTAAAACCTTCTGACTTACAAGATCTAACTTTAGCACAATTATCAGGAAGCTGATTATCCATAGCCAATCCTATATTTGTTCAGTTGATATCCCTAGGTGAATAAATAAAAAGCAGAAAAATGCCCTGGCTGGTTTGGCTCAGCAGTTAGAGCATTGGTCTGCGGTCCAGAGAGACCCGGGTTCAGTTCCCCGCTAAGGGCATGTAACTTGGTTGCAGTTTGTCCCCAGCCCTGGTTGGGTTGTGTGGGTGGCAGCCACTGGATGTGTCCCTTCCAGGTCGATATCTCTCTCTCTCTCTCTCTCTCTCTCTCTCTCTCTCTCTCTCTCTCTCTCTCCCTCTCTCCCTCTCTCCCTCCATCCCACCCTCCCTCCCACTCTATCTGACCAAAAAATGTCCTTGGGTGAGGATAAAAAAAAAAAAGCAGAAAAATGACTCGAGTTAGCCAGAAGAGGTAAGGAAAGCATATCCCAAGCTGAGGAAATAGAATATGAAAATGACCAGAATGGGGAAAAGTTAGTGTCTTATTCAGGGAAAGGAATTCAATGTGTATGGAAATAGGGCTTCCCAGATCATGAGGAGGTTTTGAGGCTGCATCAAGTATTTGGGACTTTATTTTAAAAGCAATAAGAAGCCAATGACATGGATTTTAAGCACTGGAGAAACACATGGAGATGGGCATTTTAGAAAACTCACTCTGGCTGTAGAGAATGAAATGGATGGGAGCAAGAGTGGAAACAGTAGCAGCACTTGGGAAGATGGCCCTGTCAGTAATAATCTGGTGAGAGGTGATGGTAACCTGCAGGGATGGAGACTCAGTGATACACTGGATGTTGGCAGGGATAAGGAAAAGGACTCAGAATTCCCAGGTTTCTGGCTTGATTGACTGAGTAGATTAGATATTCATCCAGATTATGAATATAGGGAGAAGAACAGATTCGGGGGCGGGGGGATGTGAAACATTCAACATTAGATATGTTGGTTTTTGAGTACTTATAATATATCCAGGTGGTATCTACCCTGTAGGCAGTTGGATACAGGAATGAGAAAGATAACTCAGTCCAACTTAGATAACTAATAGGTGGCTTTACATTTATACTTTACATTTAAATATTTTAAGTTATAGTATAATCCCATTACAAAATGAAACATAAGGAAATGGAAATAAAACTTGCATAGCTACCATATATCAACATTTCTTATCATTTTTCTCATTTTTGTAAATGGGTATTTATATATTTACTTTAATATACATTTTTTTCTAAGAAGGAGGCTTCTCTAGAAGTATTTAGGATTGAGAATTAAAAATATTAATTGGCCTGATATAATTTTGTAAATCAGACAAAATCATGCTAAATTACATGTCCTAAGGCTGTTAAAAGTTGGGGGAAAAAATCTAAGTTGTTGGACAAGAACAACTCCAGAGTTGAATAAAGAAATCATGCACCAATAAGGAAGCAAAAAACACCCAATCAGAACAGCAAAAAGAAAAAAGAATCCAAAAAAATTAGGATGGTGTAAGAAGCCTCTGGGACAAGTTCAAGTGTGCCAACATTCATATCATGGGGTGCCAGACGGAGAAGAGAGAGAGCAAAAAATTGAAAACCTATTTGAAAAAATAATGACAGAAAACTTCCCTAACTTGGTGAAGGAAACAGACATCCAAGTCCAGGAAATAAGAGTCCCAAAGAAGATGAAACACTAAAAGGCCCACACCAAGACATACTATAATTAAAATGCAAATGGTTAAAGACAAACTGAGAATCTTAAACACAGCAAGAAAATAGCAGTTAGTTACCTACAAGGGAGCTCCCATAAGACTGTCAGCTAATTTCTCAAAAGAAACTTTGCAGGCCACAAGGGAGTGGCAAGAAATATTAAAAGTGATGAAAAGCAAGGACCTACTACCAAGATTCCTTTATCCTGCAAAGCTATCATTTAGAATCAATGGATATATAAAGAGTGTCCCAGACAAGAAAAAGCTAAAGGAGTTCATCATCACCAAAACAGTATTTTATGAAATATTAAAAGGTCTTGAAGAAGGAGGTGATAAAAAATATGAACAATAAAATGGCAAAAAATACATATACATCAACAATTGCATCTACAAACAAAATGAACAAGCAGAACAGAAACAGAGTTGTAGGTACAGAGAGCTATTTGCCAGATGGCAGGTGGGTGGGGGGATAGGTGAATGAGGTGAAGGGATTAAGAAATACAGATTGGTTGTTACAGAATAGTCATGTGGATGCAAAGTACAGCATAAAGAATATAGTCAATAATACGGTTAAGAACTAGGCATAGTGCTGGGTGGGTGTGGGATTTATTAAGTTATGTAATGTCTGGTCACTGGGTGTACACCTAAAACTAATATAATAATATATGTCAACTGTAATTGAAAATAAAAAAAATGAATAAACAAAAGAAATGCACCAGAGAATGTCAGTTTCAATATCCAGTTTATTATAGTATATACTGGACCATTAGGGGGTTCTGGAATTTTCTGTCTCCTTACTACACAGCACAATTGTAGGTAGTCAGTCTGTTCTCTGAAGACCTTCTTTCCCATGGGGTCTCTACTATGACCATTTCTCCCTCCACAGGTGAAAACTAATTAGTGCTATTGCTCCTAGGAATAACCACATTTTTAGAGGGTATTCTAGAAGCCTCAAAGCCTTGGAAACCCAAAGGAATGAAGCTCTACTGAGTTCATGCAGTCACCCTGCAATCACTTTATAGCTCACTCTGCTGTTTCAAAAAAAGCTAGACTTGTTTCTAGTTCTAATTCTTGGCTACCTCATGAATGCAGAACATATCTAATAAAATCTCTGGGCAAGTACAGACTCCCAAGGCAATGTGAAATTATTATTACCAGCTGCTGAGAAAGCTCAGTGTCGCCACACCACAGGCAGTCAGACAGAGGAGACGAGACTATAAACTAGGACTGAGGGAGCCACGACAGGCTGACAACAAAAGGAAAGAACAGTCTAGGTCCAGGGCCACGGAGTGGTTATAGCAAATAAACACACATGAGAGCAAGGGAACCTGAAAACTGAGGTCATAAATCTGGTTCACTTTGGAAGGCTTGTTTTATTCTTCCTGCTCATGGTCCAATGGTTGGTTTCCCTGGTAATGCTCTCGGGTCTGCAATGTAACAATATGCCAAACCTGGAAGTTAATGAAACTTCAGCCTTAATGAAGAGCCTACCATCTTGTAGGAGGCTGCTTATCGAGTAAAGAGGAACACCAGCTCACAGTGTGGTGTGTGGGGGAACAGATCCACAGGCACAGCTTGTCTCAGGACAAAAGGCTCGCCGAGAAGCTTCTTAGTAGAGTTTGGGGGACAGCATAGCCTGTAAAAAAAGATCATAATAGCAGTTCCTGGAAACCAAGAACTTCCAAGAACACAATTTCTTACATTTTAAGCCCTGCCTCTGTGTTCCCCCGGCCCCTGTGTTTCTCTCTATAACAACATTTGTCATGTTTAATGTAACCAGCTTTTTTTTTAAACCATCTTCCTCACTGGAGTATAATCTTTTTAAGAGTATAAATGAGGCAAAAACTGCTTAGTCATCTCTGTGTTCCCAGTGTTTGACGCAGAGTAGGGTGCAATGGTGGAAACAAGGGTCCTAGGTAATATACTTTTCTGTATGATTTGCACACAATAGGTAATTAATAAATATGACTGAATTAAATTATTCTAGTGAAATGTTTCAAAGTAGATTACTTTTTCCCTTTATTTCAAAGGCAGTCAAGAAAAAATGAAAACAGCAATTCACCTATAAATTCACCATTCAGAGAAAGATAACCAATGTTAACTTCAGAATACATCTTTCCAAAAATGTATATTTAAATTGGCTTTTTAAAATGGAGTCACACTGTATATATTGTACCTACTGCTTTACAACCAGTTTCTTCAGTTAATAATACATCATGAGTATCTCTTCACTGTATTATTATATTGTAAAGCTACCTCACTTTTATTGGCTATATGGTATTTCATTAAGTAAGCTAAATGCAGTTTAGTTTAATTCCTTGCTATTGGAAATTTAAGCTGTTTCTAACTTTTGGCTATTTAAAAAAGTCCTTCCATAAATATTCTTATAGTTATATCTTTACACACATTTTTATTTAGTGGAACTGCTGAGTTGAAAGGGCTGTATGTTTTTAAGGCCCTAAGATATGTAACATTAACGTGTTCCAAAAAAGGTTGTAACAATTTATACTCAAACCAACAAAGCAGAAGAGTTATTTCCATGGTTTACACTGAATAGATTAAATATCACTGTCCCATTGTAAAGAGAATCAAGGAAGTTTGTTTAAGGTTGCGTCTATAAATGTTAATGATATTAACAATTGTTATGAACAACTATTGCTTTTATAATGTTATTAACAAATATTACCTCAATAAATTTAATTTTTAAATTTTTTTTATTAATTAATTTTTGTTACAGATGTTTCTCCTTTCCCCCCCAGACACCCTTCTCCCAATCCCACCCCCAAGCCCAGCCTTTTTGTCTATGTCCATTGGTTACTCATACATGCATATAAGTTCTTTGATTTATTTCATCTCTCCCTCCTGTCCCCCTCCTCTGAGGTTTGTCAGTCTTAACCCTACTCCTTTCTATGTCTCTGGGTCTATTTTGTTCATCAGCTTATTTTCATTATTTTACACAAATAAATGAGCTCATGTGGTATTTGTCTTTCTCTGATTGGCTTACTTCACTTAGCATAACACTCTTCAGCTCCCTCCATGTCATCTCAAAGGATAAGATATCTTTCTTTCTTACAGCTGCATAGTGTTGCATTGTGTATTTGTACCACAGTTTTTTCATCCACTCATCTACTGATGGACCCTTGGGCTGTTTCCAGATCTTAGCTATTGTAAATAGTGCTGCTATGAACATAGGGGTACATATATCCTTTCTGATTGGTTTTTCAGGCTTCTTAGAATATATTCCCAGCAATGGGATCACTGGGTCAAATGGCAGTTGAGTTTTTAATTTTTTGAGGAAACACCTTACTGTTTTCCATAGTGGCTACACCAGTCTGCATTGCCACCAGCAGTGTACTAGAGTCACCTTTTCTCCACACCCTCACCAGCACTTGTTGCTTGATGATTTGTTGATGGCAGCCATTCTGGCAGGTGTGAGGTGATACCTCAGAGTTGTTTTAATTTGCATCTCTTTGATGATTAGTAACGCTGAGCATTTTTTCATAGGTCTCTTGGCCATTTGTATGTCCTTTTTGGAGAGGTGTCTATTTAGGTCCTCCACCCATTTTTTAATTGGTTTTTTGGTCTTCCTTTTGTTGAGTTGTATGAGTACTCTATATATTTTGGAAATTAACCCCTTATCTGATGTATTGTTGGCAATTATGCTCTCCCATACAGTGGGTTCCCTTTCCATTTTGATGGTTGTTTCTTTGCTGTGAGAAGCTTTTTATTTTGATGTAGTCCCATGTATTAATTTTTTTTCCTTTGTTTCTCTTGCCTTAGGCATTGTGTCCGTGAAAATTCTGTTGTGTGTGATGTATGAAATTTTGTTACCTACATTTTCTTTTAGGATTTTTATGGATTCACAATTCACATTTAAGTATTCTATCCATTTTGAGTTTATTCTTGTGTATGGTGTAAGTTGGTGGTCTAGTTTCATTTCTTTGCACGTAGCTGTCCAATTTTCCCAACACCATTTATTAAAGAAACTGTCTTTACTCCATTGTATGCTCTTGCCAGCTTTGTCAAATATTAATTGAGTATAATGTCTTGGATCAATTTCTGGGTTCTCTGTTCTGTTCCACTGATGTATATGCCTCTTCTTGTGCCAGTACCAGCCTATTTTGATTACAATGACTTTGTAGTATAACCTGATATCCAGTATTGTGATCCTTCATACTTTGTTCTTATTTTTCTTATTTTTTTCTTTATTGATTTTAGGGAGAGAGGAAGGGAGAGGGAGAGAGAGATAGAAACACTGATGAGAGAGGACACTGAATAGCTGCCTCATGCATGCCCCCTACTGGGGATTTGGCTCACAACCTGGGCACATGCCCTGACCAGGAATCGAATTGGTGACCTCTTGGTCATGGGTCAATGCTCAACCACTGAACCACATCAACTGGGCTGTTTTTATTTTTCAAGATTGCTGTGGCTATTCGGGGTCTTTTTTGGTTCCATATTAACTTTTGAAGTATTTGTTCTAGTTCTGTGAAATATGTTATTGGTATTTTAATGGTGATTGCACTGAATCTATGAATTGCTTTGGGTAGTATGGACATTTTAATGTTAATTCTTCCAATCCATGAACAAGGTATGTGCTTCTCCTTTTTGTATCTTCCTCTATTTCTTTTTTCAATGACCTGTAGTTTTCTGCAAATAAGTCCTTTACCCCTTTGGTTAAGTTTATTCCTAGGTGTCTTAATTTTTTTGCCACAATGGTAAATGGGATTGTTTTTTTAGTTTCTCTTTCTGTGAGTACAGTATTAGTGTATAAGAATGCCGTCAATTTCTTGATGTTAGTTCTGTATCCTGCTACTTTGCCAAATTAATTTATTAAATCTAGTAGATTTTTGGTGGAATCTTTAGGGTTTTCTATGTACAATATCATGTCATCTGCAAATAATGACAGTTTCACTTCCTCCTTTCCAGTTTGGATGCCTTTTATTTTTTCTTCGTGTCTAATTGCTGTGGCTAAGACTTCCAGTATTATGTTGAATAAGAGTGGTGAAAGTGGGCATCCCTGTCTTGTTCCTGTTCTTAATGGAAATGTTTTTAGTTTTTGCCCATTGAATATGATGTTGGCTGTAGGTCTTTCATATATGGCCTTTATTATGTTGAGATATGAACCCTCTATTCCCCCACTGCTGAGCATTTTTATCAGAAATCGGTGCTGGATTTTGTCAAATGCTTTTGCAGCATCTTTTGATATGATCATATGGCTTTTTATCTTTCATTTTGTTCATGTGGTGTATCACACTTATTGATTTGCGAATATTCCACCAGCCTTACATCCCTGGGATGAATCTCACTTGGTCATGGTGAATAAATTTTTTAATGTACTACTGGATCTGATTTGCTAATATTTTGTTAAAGATGTTGGCACCTATGTTCATCAGGAATATTGGTCTGTAGTTGTCTTTCTTTGTAGTGTCTATATCTGGGTTTGGAATTAAAATTATGCTGGCCTCATAATACGAGTTTGGAAGTCTCCCTCATTCTTGAAATTTTTGGAATAGTTTGAGGAGAATGAGTGTTAGTTTGTCTTTGAATGTTCAGTAAAACTCACCCATGAGGCCTCCAGGCCTGGATTTTTGTTTGCTGGGAGATTTTTGTTTGTTGTTGTTGTTTTTAATTTTTCTTTATCGATTTTAGAGAGAGAGGAAGGGAGAAAGAGATAGAAACATTGATGAGAAAGAACAACATTGATGGCTGCCTCCCACATGCCCCCCAGTGGGGATTTGGCCCACAACCTGGGCATATGCTCTGACCAGGAATTGAACTGGCGACCTCTTGGTGCTTGGGTCAACGCTCAACCACTGAGCCACACTGGCTAGGTTGCTGGGAGATTCTTGATTACATCTTCAATTTCCTTAGTTGTTATTGGTCTGTTCAAGTTTTCTATCTCTTACCGGTGCAGTTTTTAAAGACTATGTGTTTCTAGTAATTTGTCTTGTTTGCCTAGATTATCCAATTTGTTTGGCATATAATTGTTCATAGTATTTGTTTACGATCCTTTGTATTTCTGTGTTGTCAGTTGTTACTTCTCCTCTTCAGTTTCTGATTTTGTTTATTTGGGTCCTCTCTCTTTGTTCCTTGGTCAATCTAGCTAAGGGTCCATCGATCTTCTTTATCTTTTCAAAGATGCAGCTCTTTGTTTCATTGATCTTTTGAACTGTTTTGTTTTTTGATTTTTTGTTTTTGTTTTGTCTCTATGTCGTTTATTTCTTGCTCTGGGTTTTTTGTTTTGTTTTGTTTGCTTGCTTTCTTGTTCTTTTAGTTGTGAGGTTACATAGTGAATTAGAAATTTTTCTTGTTTCCTGGGGTAGGCCTATAGTGCTATGGACTTCCCTCTCAGGACTGCTTTCGCTGCGTCCCATAGATTTTTTGTTGTGTGTTCATTTTCATTGGTTTCCAGGAAGGATTTAATTTCTTCTTTGATCTCCTTAGTAACCTATTCATTGTTTAATAACATACTATTTAGCTTCTATATGTTTAAATGTTTTCACGTGTTTTTGTTGTAATTGATTTCTAGTTTTATGCCATTGTGATCTGAGAAGATACTAGATATGATTTCAATCTTCTTGAACTTGTAGGGACTTAGTTTGTTTCCTAAAAACATGTGGTCTGTCTTTGAGA